AGTGCATTGCTTGTGATTTGTACTTTATTAAAGAACCAGTGTGTAAGATGTAAGGGGATCTATTGGCAGAATATGGCAGAAATTAAATATAATATTCAAAAGTATGTTTTCATTAGTGTATATTCACCTGAAAATAAGAAATGGGTTTTCTTCACTTTAGATTAAGCCCTTTATATAGGTCCTCTTCTACAAAGACCGTCATGTTTGGCCGCCATGTTTCTACAGGAGCCGAGAATGGACAAACCAAACACTGGCTCTGGATAGGGTCTTTCTGCGTTGTTAAATGTGTTGTGACCACAGTAGGTTCTTCTGTATGCTTGGAAGGGAAGGGTGAGGCAAGGGGTATTCAGCTGGCTGCAATCTGCAACCTCATCGCTTGATGCCTCTAAAGTCTACACACGGGTCCTTCAATTGATGAATTGTATATATATTTTTAAATTTAGTGGCAGTCTGCTGAGCTACACTAATGTCCCCTGGGAATATACAACAGTTTGTGTGTTAGTGTTATTTTGGTAGTGGCAGCATGTGTTGTCTGCTGTGACTGACTTCTGTCTCTTCACTTGGCAGGGGTGACCATACTGGTTTTATTATGAATACAATTAATGAATCTAATCAAAATTGTGACATGGTCATGCCATGTGTATACTATAAATGAGTATGTGTCTGTGTATATGTGTTGAGTGACCACATGAAGAATATCTTCTGCACTGAAGAGACAAATAGGGATTGTGGAACGTGAAATGAAATGAAATGGTTAATGGGCATGATTTTCAGAATGCATTTTCCAAATTAAATTTTTTATTGTCTAGTTGTCTTTTATAAAACCGATATATGAAACACAGATATGTAAATAAGCTGGCATTTCCCCAAACAAAAAGAAAAGTCAAAAAGATAAGTCTTCATGACTTATGTTCTTAATGTTCTAAGATTTTTTTTCAAATATACACATTGTTCTAAGTGACTATTACATCCATTAACTCTAATAGCGTTCAGCACTGAGAAACATCTAACTCACATCTCCAAAACTTGCAGAGCTGCACACACTTTATGTTGTTTTTCTCTGCGGCGTACATCCGTCTTGTTTATGAGTACACTGCATCGCTAACGACGGCTGGTAATTCCACGCTGCTAACCCGTGTTTTCACTGCTGATTGAATTGCTTCCAAAGCCTACAAGAATGTTTAAAGTAGAAGCTATGGAAATGAACCAATTGACCTTTTTTCTGACCCTAACGATCTCCACGCCCTGTGGGTGCAGAAACTGTCTGGCGGCAACAGAGTTGGGAAATCAAAGGGATCTATGCTGTTATTAGTGCAGTGGCGCTCTGGGACCTACTGACACTGCTTCATCGTGGCCTCCACACGCATTATTGTCAGCTATCCTCTCAAAATGATGATTTAATTTCATAATGAGAATGTCATACTACAAGATCATGTGTGCCCTGTCTTGGCTTGATTGCTACTAAAAATTAAGTGTGAATTATAAACTCGCTGTGTATGTATGAACGAGCATGTGTGTGTGGGTCCTGGTGGGGCAGTCCTGCCGAGCAGTCCAGCAGGGCGATTATGTCCTGTAGGGATAACCTGTCATGGTGCTGAGAGCCTAATTGATGCCTCATGCTTTTCAGGGGGCAATTATAGCGCCCAAATGTCAAGACCTAATTTGTGACTCTGTAATGTGGACACATGGGCCAGAGGAAGGTGGTGACACGGCTGCTCCGGAGGGACTCACACACTGGTTTGGTCAGCAGATGTGAGGGGCTGGGAGGGGGTTACACCGAGAAGGCTGGAAGAGATGGAGAAGAGAGCTTGGTATTCTTCAAAAACCTAAACTGAATGTCCAGTGCAAATAATGTTATGCAGAATGCCTCCTCTCAGATTGTTATATTATTACATATTCCATAAATGGAATATTATTACCGATGCATTACAGCTGCACTGGTCAATATTCTTATGGATCAAATGACTTTGTGAGATGTGAAAGAGGTTACTCGTAGTGACAAACCTGTAACGAATTGTCATTTGACTTTGCAGTTCCCCTCAGCTCTGAGAAACGTTTTGTCGCATCTTTAAGCTCCCTGTTTTGGTTTTACTTTCTCTCACATCATCCTCAGGAGCAGCTTTACGCTACTTGCCAAGCATCAAATTACAGATGACCAACTAGAAACTACTGTATACCTTTCAAATCATTGTATTGTAGTAAAACATATTCTAATATTGCTCTTTGAAATGAGGCATAAACTACAACAAAAGGGAAATCCTAAGTAAAGTACAAATAACTCAGATCAGAACTTGACTGCAAAGGATTACCTTTTAAATAAACCACTGTCAGAATCCTGTTATCTGAATAAGTGTATATCACAGTACGTCATCTGATATATACAACTACAACCATCTCCCATTTACCTCTTGTGGACCTGTCTCTGTATTTGTGTGCTGTATTGGATTCTACAGATGGCAGCTGTGTGTTGTTCTTCAGCCCAGCCTCCTCCAGGTACTGCGTGTTCAGATCCTTTAGTTAAACATAACACTGTCAGTCACTGGCAGGGCCTGCAAACGCACCATAGTGTTGTTCACTATGTGTGCCTAAACAGAAATGATCTTCTCTTTTTTATTTTTTTTGTTCTCCACAACACCTAAACATCGTTGTTTTCTACTAATGTCTCCATGGAGATGCAAACAGAGGAGCATATTTTCCACTGGAGCTGACAGCTTGCGATGTGGAGTGTCAGTAAATCAGGTATGCTGGTCTAATTGCCGCTTGCGGAAGGCAGACCACAAAATCCTCTTAGCTCTGATTCTAAAATAGATTGAAGTCAAATGGAGTACAATGCAGCAAGTGTGGAAGATGATGGTTTTTTTTACAGGTCACATGAGTGATGGATGATTGATATTTGGGACCACTGGCTCCAGATTTTGCCAGAATGTCTCTCTCGCTGTGGACTCGGATGAAAGCCCAAAAGTATCAAGTGGATAACGCTATACTTACACTTCTGCTGTAATCCCTATAAACACACATGCAGCTCATAATTTGTGCGCACGGCAATTTACTAAGGACTAAACAAACAACAAAGAGCCTGAAATCAATAGTTGCAGGATTCAAATGACACAAAGCTGCAGACACCATCCCTGCACAAACACACTCTTAGAAGTGGCCACGGCTTTAGAGCAACAGGTGAGCTTCTCGGCACCTCCCCTGTCTTCCCCAACGCAGCCTACTAAATATAGAAATTATGCTCTCTGATAATTGGGGGCAGACAACAAAGCCGGCTGTATTTCCACCCTCCTCCTCCTCCTCCTCCTGCTGCTGCAAAGGCATATCCCCAGCTGACAAACAGCAGGCCTGAGATCAGAGTGTGAGAGCTTGAGTGCTGAGGGAACACCTGCACTGTCTGGCTGGACTGCGAAGATAGACACAGAAGATCATTGACTTCCACACCTGCCCCGTGGACCCATGCCATGTACACACACACACACACACACTTGATTGGGTTTCCTAGAGAGCTCTTTAAGGCCGCCGCTGAGGAGGTGATGAAAGTCAGGGAGCGTCCATTAAGTGTGTGAGATGGCCCTCCAGAGTGGGGACGGATGAGGGGTTTAAGTGTTTTCAGCGAGGAGCCACAGACCACCTGGAGGAGGTGGAGTGGAAGGAACAGAAGCGTCTGTCTCAGGGCCAGGTAGACTCCAAAAACATCGGTTAAACAAGTGCCAAAGAGCACTTCTGGGCATCAGGTATCGCAAGTCAGGATTTCCAGCGTGTTTAGAGAGATGACCTTCAAAATGTCAAAAGGGGGGCAGCGGGGGTTACGCTCTTAGATTTGCACAAAGTCTGCTTTTCATGGCCACAAAGGTAATTGCAGTCTCTTTGGAGGTATTGCAATGACAAAAACAAAGCTGCAGGTCAAAGTCATGGACAAACTATTGTGGCAACACACCTTGAAAAGTTTGGATACGACAGGAATGAATCATGCCCTGTCCCTCATTTTCACACATCTGCAAAGCTACAGAAAGACGAACAGCTGACAGTGTATCTTTCCGAGAACAAGCGCCAGAATCCTTTTGCATGTTGTAATAGGCTTGCGTGTGTTTACCCGGTGGACAGGGGATGTCCACGTGCACACAAGTTATAATACACTACGGGATGCTGTCATTAATCGACGACAGAAGCGCGTTGATGTTCAAGGTGGGAAAGTCCCACAGTATCACACTGTAGACAGGAGAGAGTTGGCAGCAGGGCTGACTCCCCTTAGACACCCCCACTGGCTCGGCATCACACACACACACACACACACACACACACAGGCTGAGATCACAGGCTGAGCTTTCATGCTTCAACACAGATGTTCCCCCAACCATGGAGGAAAGTTTGCAGATATGAGATAGTGGCTTTTTAAAAATAATAATGAGTAATTCAGCCCCTTTGTACGTCCTAATTCCAACTATAACAGACTTTCAGTCAGTTCATCTCTTGTAAAAAATTACCATTAATTAAACATTTTTAACACAAAGAAACAGAAACTGTCTGAAAATAAATGTTTTGGCCACTTTGACTTCCATTATTTAATAAGACATTTCAACAAGTCTGCCGTCCTCAAACTGTCAGCAGAGGTTACTTAATCTTTATCGCTGTGACCTCCACTTTTATACACTAGCTAAAGTTGCTGGGCCTGAGCTAAAGGTCACATTTTATTTGGCCCTGATCGTGTTGTTGCGCAGCGTCTACATTCAGAGGATTCACGAGGGAGGCTTTGAAGTTTTATGCGTGCATCAGGTCTACAACTCGTCTCTTGGCATAATGGTGTCCATAAAGAAAGACAACATTGGTCTCGTAAGCTGGTTTATATGTTTAAACTCTGAACGACAAAGGCAACCAGTGCATTATATACTTCTTTTAAAATATTGCTCTGCTAAAAGTAAAAATGTGGGTTCTTCAAAGGAACATTGGTTGGATGTGGACACAGTGAGCAACTAACAAAATACCTTATAAAAAACATTCTGATCACATTTTGAGCAATTTATTACTTGTATTGTCATTTTGTTGACTTCAGATTCCTCCCGTAACACATGTAACAGTAGTTTGGTTAGAATTTAAGTGTCAACATTACAAAGATTTTTAAATATTCGATTCACAGTTGCCATATTGTGATAAAATGCATTTCAGATGTGGATATCTTTTCCAAATATTGCCAGTATGTTTCATATTTTCAGTCATATTACAGTATATTGCTAGTTTTTTTTCAAAATAAAAGACAATGGTACAGTGTCTCAGTCTTTATATAATCAGTACAGTTTCTAGTGTTTTTTCTATATTGCATGTATCTAACTGTAAAAATATATTCTCAAATAAATAAATATATAACATAAATATATGTATCTAAAATGAATAAATAAATTGTTACATTTTAGCTCTTTTCAAACAGTTCTAGACACAGGTAAGAAAAAAAACAGAATTCCTTCAAAGTCCTTCTGAACAAACTACGGCTCTCTGACCATTTCATGATAGATTCCCACGGCCTCCACGTTGGCTGATGTCTCAGTCTGACTAGAGAGATGCTCCCTGACCATTCAGCACAGTTTCCCATTCATCTCCTATTCCACGCAGGTACTTTTTAGGGTTGCCCAGCCTCTAATACAAACGACCCCCTCATGCAGAGTGTGCAGACTTTCTGGCCTGTCTTCCTGGCTGCTGAGAGATGGCCCGTGCATTCCTACAAGAGGCCCCCGGTGCCTTTATCCCTGCTGGTTGGACTGCTGTCCACCAGCCTGCACTGGCCACATCCCAATGCATGCGTCCCTCTTCTCTTGTCTTGCTCCCTGCCTGACAGGGCTTTAGCAACTATTCCTGAACTGGACCAGGCCTCCAGGTCTCAGCTGTGTCCCAGGATATCCCTGTACAGCTCTGGCACACGGTCGGGGTCCACAGGCCTGGGCAAGAAGTGTGTAAACTTCTGGTGCCGCCTGGATTTAGTCCCGTCCCTTGGTGTCCCGTCTTTATTTAATGCCACAAAATAACGCGTCCCTTTGTCTCCATGTTTGTAGAGGTTGGAGGAGTAAGTGTTGTACCAGTTCTCCTCAAACTGCTCCCTGAAGACACATTCAGCTGTGAGCTTCTCCTGAAAACATCAAAAGGCACAACATAAGAGAAGTCCTGGCTAATGATGAAGACATAGGAAAACACATTTCATTATTTGAAATTGGAAATGTGGTCAAACATCACATGGTAAAAATGAGGATTTGGGCAACAGGAATAAGCAAAGATGGTACTTACAGACCCATACAGCTCTCCTTTGTCGTTCATCCCCAGGTAGAGTCCACTGTCCACCCCTCTAATGCTTATCAACCCAACAGCAAGGCTTATGAATTCCAAAATACCTGAAGAAGAATAACACAGTTGTTCTGTACAGACTTTGACAAAGATGAAAGGAGAAGCTCAAAAAATCTAATTCAGCTCTGACAGCAGGCTTTCGGCAAATTTAATACATTTTAATAAACACAATTAGGCCTCTATCATAAGCTTGTTCATTTCATCAATCGTTCTCACTCTTTTCTTGTTATTGTTCTTATTTTGATAATTATTTGTTTTATTTAATTGTTGCTACCACTGGCTCCAGATTGACACTTTCGATTGCTTTTTATTTTTTTGCTATCAAAAATATATATTAAAAAAATAGTTCAGGATTTACCAAAACGACTGTGGTCCTTCCTCGTCCCTTGCACTGTGCCATCTGGAAGTATTTCCAGATGAAAACCAGTCCTGCAGTATAACTGTCTCCTCCTGAGAATCCCTTTGAGGTGCGTTAAATCCGCCGGGGTGCTTCGGGAGAGCCTGTCCCCAGGTATGAGGTGCTCCCCTAGTAGCGTCGGACTGTCCCCCAGAGGGGTCAGGAAGAAATGGGACCCGACCTGTGAGACACCATCGATGCCGTGCAAGACGCCTCCAACTTCCCCCAGAGCAGCAGCAGCAGCAGCCATCGCGTCGAAGCTCAGCGGGTAAAGTTCAGTGAGGAGGTCCGGAGGGAGCGCTCTTGCGTAGTTGACTACCTGGTTGCCACTGTCACTTATTGCATGTTTACTTCCACCTCCTCCGTTACTTAGGACAGAAGGACGCGCAGATTTCTCTCCCCTGACATGAAACACTCACCAAACATCCGCTGATGGTCGCACTGATTTCTCCTTATTTCTTTTTTTATTTACCACTGCGTCTTCATCAGTTGGGGGTGGGCTGCATTTGCTGCTCAGATAATCCTCATGTTGCATACCTGTTCACAGCGGATGGTGACGCCTCAGTGGAGCCATGGAGACACAGCAGAGGAAGATTCAGTACTAGTGAGGGCTGCTGACCAAACGCTGCAGTGCAGGTACAGGAGCTCCTGGAGGTTTTGCGCTCAAAGTGGCAGGGGTGGTGAGGCAGGTGCAAAAGGACTAGTAATGGGCGGGGCTGTCACAGTTCAGACGTGCCTTGGCAGGGATTTTTTTCTTCTCCCAAAGCATATAATAAAAGACACACAGGGAGAGAGAGTTGCTGGTGGTCTGAGGGCTTTTAAACTGAGCATTTACGTCCCTTAAAATTCAAATTAAATCCGTAAACACAAACTATGTGACTCTTTAAATCAACCCACTAGAGGAGAGCCATAATTCAGTGTCTGTTTCCATGTGTATCCAAAGATTTCAGCATTTCCTTCCCTCTCCCCAATTTGACGCCCTTTAATCCCAGAGCAACTTGAAATAGGCTACCCACGGCATTTCTCGCGAGCTCGGAGCAGCAGGCTGCTCGCGCCGCTCCGCTGTGCTCTGCGTGATATCGGTTACGACACCTCAGTAAACAGCCATGGCTGCCCTGCGCAGATTTATCCCTTCATTCACTAACAGCTCTAAAACAGGGACGCTGACGGCGCTGAAACAACAAACAACCTCGAAGGCGACAAAAGCGCTGAAAGTTATCGCAGCTGGAGCGTGCGTCACCGCCGCGGCCGGTGCCGCTTATTACGGCTGCTCGCTTGTAGGTAGGCGGTCCGGACTGAAGAGCCATGTCGAGGCTCGACTCTTGCATCTGGCGTTGCCATCAGTTTCTGCCACCGATAAGGTACAGTGGAGGGTTTTGTCAAGATTTAGTGACAACAGTCGGCCCACATGCAGTCTGACTGAAACGCCTGTAGTCGTTCAAAAGGCTTCAATTTCATTTTTAGTTTTTCTCACGTAAACGTAGGCTAATAACGGAGCATCTGCATTACCGAGATAATGAGCCTGCACTATGTAGTGCACGTGAAACTACAGTAACGTTAATGTGTCGTCAGCATTAGGAGCTATCCCCGACCTTTGGTGCTGAAATGGCAAAATGGTCAAAGGCAGTTCATAGAGCACGTGACCTAGGTGCTGCCGTAACTGCTTTTTCTGCATGCCGCATAATAAATAGAAAATAGATATAATACTATACATTATACTGTTGTTACACTTTTAGGGGGTGGAAAAAATAACATCTGACTTTGTAATGTAATCTAACACAGTTTTATATATTTTTAATTCTAATCTAAAGTAATACCTGGTGTTGTTGTTGGTGCTGGATTTTAGGTGTTGGACACTTCAAAATACAGCTGCAAAGATGACCAGGGTTGAACATTACAAGGGCTTAAGGAGTATTTTCATGATAAATTTATTCATTATTTATTTAAACAATTACGTAATTGTTTGGTCCTGAAAAAAATAAGAAACTAGTCACATTACAACAGCTCAGTGCCACTCAATGTAATGGAAAAATATTTTTTGAACATTTTCCATGTGCCACCTCCTCATTCTGTTCCTTTTATGATGCATAATACCTGTGAAAAGTTTCATTCAGATATAATAATATTTACTGGTAGCTCAATGGGCTCAATGTTTTCATATGTATTATAATCAAGATAAAATGTTATTTAATTCAAAATGTATCTACCAAAGTAAATTAATCCTTGAGTAAGTATTGTTATCATTTAACTGTTCTTTTTCATATTCTAATTTGTTATTATTAGTTAACAAATATAGTTATTATTTGGTTTAAATACTATTTAATCAGAATAATATTTTTGGGTTAACACTAATCTCATTTTTAACACCACCTATCAGTTATCACTGGGCTTGGTGATCTACAGTCTGAACATTTTCCTGTTTCGCCCCCAATTCCGAATTCTGTAAATGGTCTGTATTTTTATAGTGCTTTTCCAGCCTTTTCGACCACTCAAAGTGCTTTACACTACATCATATTCACCCACCTATGAGCAGAAACCCAGCTGCCCGCTTTTATCTAAAGCGACTTACAATTGCTATACATGTCAGAGGTTGCACGCCTCTGGTGCAACTAGGGGTTAAGGTCTTGCTCAGGGACACAGTGGTGGATGGGTCACAGTGGGGAGTTGAACCCAGGTCTCTCACACCAAAGGCACCACACTCTTCCACACTGATGGCACAGCCACCAGGAGCAATTTGTGGTTCCCAACCTTCCGGTTAGTGGACGACCGCTCGCTTATGCCACTTCAACACTTCCCTAATTAAGGTCTATCTGAAGGTCTATCTGGTTTGCATGTGCATGTGTTTCGTCCTCTTCATAGAAATTGTTCATTATTAAGTAACTGTTAGCAGCTATTTGTCTTCTTTTTGAGGATTTTTGCATTATTCTAACTTGTAATATTAAAGTTAATATCACTTGATAAAATCGGAAAATGTTGAATATTGTAAAACTTTATCAGTGTTGAGCTACCAGTAAATATTATTAAAATACATCCAACTTAGTTTTTGTCACATTATTAACACATTTGGGGGGTGGGAAGATAAAAATGAGAAACTTTATTTTCGAGTTGCACCCTAATATTCATCTTGATTGTTTTGTCCAACCAACAGTCCCAAACCCAAATATATTCAATTTACAGTGATATATAACAGAAAATCTATTTTAGAGGTTAAACAATTAGTCGGTAAATCTATTAGTCATTCTACACAAAATTAATCAACTATTTGGATAGTTGATTTATGGTTTAAGTCATTCACCAAGCAAAATGCCAAACGTTTTGCAGCTTCTTTTTTCTGCTTTACGTCATTGTAGATTACAATTTCGGGGTTGCTTTGGACTCTCGGTTGGAGTAAAATAAAGTAGGAATTTCTGGCACAACTTCACCTACTTCCAAGGTGCAGGAAGAAAGTAAGTAGTGTTAAGTGTCAAGTGTTGATAAATTATATTTCAGCACTACTTGTTAGCTTTACACAAATGTTTGCAACACTAATGTCATTTTTAGCACTATGAGAGATGTTCAAGTTATTTTGTCTGCCCCCTGTACAATGTGTGTTTGGACCTATTAGCCTACATGCCAGCACTTCTGCAGGAAGTCTCTTTTGCTCAGACATGTGCTGACATTGTTGACAAGATTTTCATGAATCAGAGGGGATGTAAACAACCATGTAAACCAGGTCTGCTTTGCACACTTCTAGCTACAGAAGATTCCTTGTTTTTGATCTGCGGGTAGGAGGGAGGAAACCTTAACTGGTGTCCACAGGCAGCAGGAATCCAGGCACACAGGAAACTGGACACTGGGACTTGGCAGAGGGGCTGACATTTGATGAGCGGTGGGGGTGGTTAGAGGGGGTTTAATGGTTAAGCAGAGGGGGGCACACATTCCCTTGGTGTTTGCTCTGTGCCCAGTAGACCTGGCACTGTGCCACCTGACAGAGAGATCCACTCTGTCTTCACCAATCCAGCCTTCTGATCTGGCTGGGTTTGAACAGTTGTAGGGACATTATCTGGTGCACAGGGATGACAAATAGGGCTGACATAACATGCACCCCATTACTGAATTAAAGCTTGGGCCTCTTTGTTGTTCCATGTGAGAGAGGCTTTTCGTGACAAGAAAAGCTTCCGTGGATTTCATCTTTCAGACAGTATTATCACTGTTGATATGATTTGTAATATTTCATGATGGTGTGTGTGTGTGTGTGTGTGTGTGTGTGTGTGTGTATGTGTGTGTGTGTGTGTGTTTGCAGGCCAGGACCTATGGTCTGGATGATGGGGATGCGTACATGTCGTCCAATGAGAACAGGTTTCGCCTGTTCAGTTCGGTGGAGTACGAGGGCCAGCTCTACATGACGCCACTGAACTTCATCGAATCCATCACTTTGAACGAACCCAAGAGTGAGTGCAGTCCTATTACTCAGCTCCCACAATAGTAAACACCCTTTAATAACACCCTTTGGAGGAAGGAAGGAAAGATGTTTAGGGCTTAAACAGTTAGTGAATTAAACAGTTAGCCCTTTAGCAGAAAATTAATCAACAACAATTATGACAGTTAATTGTTGTAGCTTCTAAAATGAGAGGATTTGCTAATTTCGTCTCTTTCATTGTTGTAAAATTAATATTTTTGAACTGGTGAACTAACATAAGCAACTAGAAGACGCCGCCATGGGCTTTGTGAGTGTTTTATGTTCTGTTTTTTTTTGTCAGTGAATTGTGAAAATAATCAGTTGATTAATTAATAATGAAAACAATTATTAGTTGCTCTATTGATGTTAAACTTTTGCCCCTTTTTGACCAAATAGTTAACTTTGGATGCCACAGGAACTAATGTCAGGAACTAAACTAGGAAGCTCCATGTGTGTGTTCCTACTTATACACATCTGGAGAACCTTGTAGTTGAGGCCAGTTAAAATAATAATGGATTAAAAAGTGATGGAAAATGTTTAACACGCAAAAGAGCCTTTCTCTGTATTTACTATTGTGCAACTGAGTTTGAATGTAATGAATGGATTCAGTGGATACATTCTCAGTACGATTATGATGGCAGAGGCTGCAAAGAGACTGAAGAAGACGTCGGAGGAAGTGAGGAAGAGAAAAAGAGAGAGTGATGGAGCAAGAGACCAGATGAGGAAATATCGGACTGGCTTTTACTCGTTGGCGAGAGCTATAAGAACTGAAAGGATGCAGGAAAGATGCCGAGCTGGCCTTCTCTGTTGTACTGGTCACTTATAACTGATTAGCTGGCTCGCTGTGTCTTCTGTTGTTGCACTTTCTTGATGTTTGGCTGTGTTAGCAAAGTTTTTGGTTCGAGCCAAATCAGTGAGAGGTTTCACAGATTTAGCTGTTGATGTCAGCAAACTAACTTGATTACACACATCAGTAACGTTACTGTAAGTCCTCTTGCGTCGGTTGCTGTCTAGCTTTGTAGGCTAGCTTGCCACCCAAGTTTCAAGCAACATTATGCTGCTGCTGGTGGAGAGCGGCGCCGGTGTCATGCCAGAGCTGGGCGAGCAGGTAACATAAATGGGCTCATCAACATAACATTAGATCATTGCAAAGACAAAGAGATTGAAGAGGATGTTAGAGGAGGAAGTGAAGAAGAGAAAACAAGAGTGACCAAGCCACAGGCTTTGAGAAATAAAAGGTCAGATGCTGAGCTGGTATTCTTTCTGTTAGACTAGTAAGTAATATTGCTGCGTCTTGTGTTGTCATGTTTCAATCATATAATGTAATCATAACAAATGAACATGTACAGCTGTCCTTATTTAAATCAAACAGATATTACATCATGTTGCTTTAAGAGTCCTTATATTTTGGTAAAATCGGTTTTAAACTTTTGGTATCTATCATTTTATGAGAGACGGTGGCAATTCCTTCATGAAGACTGTAACAGTGTGCTGCACTGCAGATGCTACACCGCCTCTATAATATGTGCAGCTCTCTGTAGAAATCAGCCCCATTTGTCAGCAGCCATTTGCTTAATTATGCTTCCGTCAAGTCATCAGATAAATCCCTTTTCTTTCACCCTCCAATTACCTGTGGTTTACAAAAAAGCCCCAGTTTTGTTTCCTGGAACATTACTTGTTGGTGAGGGCCTGTGAAGTGTCATCGGACATAAGTTACAGCTTGAAGAGCTTCAGTCATAACACCTGCATAAAGATAGACATCTTTACCAGCAACCCCGCTTTTATGGCTCATTTATGTGGCAACAAACTCGCACAGACCCAGAGAGACCAATCAACTTAGTCTGGATGTCATAAATGTAATGATAAGACATTCTGATCACTGTGGTTGATTATGTTTTAAGATGTGTGGCGAGCTATAATGTAATGGTTTGGACACGGCTTCGCTGGCATCTAATGAGGAAGGTAAATAAGGAGCTTCAGTGTATCAATATTCTGTGCATCATTGTTCTCTGGTGGCTAAAGGCTGATGTGTTGCAAAATAGTAATCATTGTGTTTTATGGCTATATTGTGGCTGTAAAAAAAATGTTTTTGCCATTCCTGTGGATGTTTAGGAAGGCCATGACCATAATGCATCATTGATGGTTTAATTTCAAAGACAACACATGAAGCACAGGATGGTGGTCATTTAGAAGAGAACCATCTGAATCAAAGCTTAAAGTGCTGTTATGTAAATTATTCATATTGGATCCGTAACATATTTGTTGGTTATTAAATATTTATTGAAGGCATGAAATACACGCCTACATTTATCTTCACATGCTCACTCAGATGCTTTCGCTTTGGTGTAGAGTGATCATAATTCCAGCTTTAGACAGAGGCTTTAAAATGCGTCTGTGGAGGGTTATTGTCACTGTTATCGATGTGATTTCCTGACCAGGTGTTTTTTTTTTTCAAGTCTTTTTATTATTTTTTTTACAACACCTCCATCTTATCTTCAGCTTTATTGACCATCGGAATGCGTTCACATAGATTTGCAGCTTTTGTTTCTGTCCACATAAACACCTGTTTCCACTTTTTTTTTCCATATTCCTAATACAGAAGTCATTATTGAAACATAATATTATATATATATATCATCCACTAACTGCTAACTTTGTTTTGTTTAGGTCGGAGAGTTTGCAAATCCCTCACAAAAAAGGTGAGTTGTATGTCATCAAAGCACTTGTTGCTGTTTTACAGAGTCTCCACCTCATCTGTGTAAAACCTCTGTAATTACTGTAATTGTAATGCCAACAGACATTGCATTATGTTGTGATTACCCATGATTCAGAAATGAATGAGTGATTTGGGATTTTCTTCTGTTCTCTCAGGAATTAGACAAGATGCTGGCTGATACCCCGCCTGTTTGCAAAGGATCATCTAATTTGTTCAGAAATCTTCGTGAACGAGGTGAAGTAACTGACTTGATGTATCACAGCTCCACACATAATCATCCATTGAATTTAAGGCCCTCTATGTCTTGTTCAGAGTGCGTCTGTTGTCGTATAATCCAGAGCAGTGAGTGTGTTGTAAAGGCTATCTTTTCTCTGGATCAGTCTGGTAACATGTTGTAGATGTTCACAAGTAACCTCTGCAGGAGGTTGATAATATTGATAATATACATAAGGATCCTTTTTGGGTTCTCTAAGAAGAAATGTGATAACTATAAAGTTTAAACGTTTCATTTGGAGAGAAAGTTTTAAGGGATTTCCTTGAAAGAAAAGCGCCCTTTAAACCCAAGTAGATAAATCATGAAATGTCATTATCATTATTTATAATTTATTTATTTTGGAAATGTTTATGTCATGTATGTTAAATTTTATGCTCAGTTGCTCACTTAGCATGTTTACCTGAGCTATGAGACTGTGTATTAAACTCTAGGGTGACATTAGCAATGAATTGGTATTCCTTCATTGAAAGTGTGGCAATTAAACACCTTCTCTACGTTCCCTGTAATTAGTACCAAATTGTAATGTTTTTTTCCAGGAACCTTCTCGGAGATTATAACTTATTCTAAACTTACATTAATTTAAACTTAAAAGGTGAAATTAAAAGGCTGAAAATGGCACTGATTAAACTTGAGTACAGTTTGTGCATCATTTTGCATCACAAATCTATCTAATATATATAGGAAAGGTGAAATGCTCCTTACTGCATGTTTTTCCTCCTTTCCCCAGTTTTACTTATGTGCACTGTAACATGCACAATACATGTTTTAAAAGCTAAAACAATTAGATCAGGGTCAGCAAAAATGCCATATTCTGTGTTTCCAGCTGCTGAAATGAGCTGATTGAATGTTTCTGGGTTTTGGACTTTTTGTTTAGACAAAACGAGCAAGTCAAAGACGCCACCTTTGGGCTCTGGAAAGTTGTGATTGACTATTATTTGACATTTTGAAACAATGAACTGATTAATCGAGCAAATAATCGTCAGTTTACTTGATGATGAAAATAATGGTTAGTTGTTTTGACTGACCTGTTAGGCTGTGTGTCCTCCGTGCTGTTGCACAGTAAATCCTGACTGCTTTGGGAGGAATACAGTAGGACTTGGCTTAAGAACTTTCCACTCTGTCACTGTGTTAATTGACATTCACTGTACAGACCTGTCAAGCTAGCAAACATATGGAATCATATGTGAGCAATGCACTTGGGGTCCTCATGGGAGGGTTTCGAAAAGGAATCTCATTTTACCTAACGCACCTTGTGAAACGACTGCACTCTTCACCTGCAAACCTCAATTCATACTAACGTTGCAAGGAGAAAATGAAGTTGTCAGTGTGAGTAAAGATCTTTTTAATTTTCCCACCTGGGCCTGCACACTCCCACTCAGTAGGTCATACGAGCCAGTGGAGCATCAGATCTCACTGTTCTGCTCTCTCCTCTGTTGCTTTAGCTAAGTGCCAATGCTGGGATTTGGGGCTTTTAATCCTGCTGTTAAACGTTGCGGCTTTGTCAGGGAAAAAACGTCTGGATTGATCTGTGAACAAAGCGTTGCTTTAGAGAATGAGGGAGCTGTTTGAACCCAGCTATGTCGAGACATGTCCAACTGGCCGCCCCCACCACCCCCAATCACCATGGACATTATGAAGCCTAAGAATGGCATTGGATTACATCTCCGGGACTGCCACTCTGTATGAAGTGTTTCTGTGGAATTCTTTGTATTGTCTAACAACATCTACTTGAGCTCAGAGGCTGTGCTGCAGGGGTGGGGGTGGGGGGCTCCCTACAGGAGTGAAGGTGTGTGGTATTGGTGAAACATGGCTGGAATCTTAAAAGTTTTTTTTCTTCTCTCAACCCATTTAAGCTTTAATGGCTTTGAAGCTAGAGATCTGTTGTCATTATAGAGCCGTAGCTGCCAAACACAGGGAGCTGGGGTGATAAGACGGAGCGCCTTAAGATTTTTAGATGAACTATGTCTAATGGCACGCATCACTAATTCCCCTTTCACACCTCAGTTTGTACACGTGTTTCACTAGCCTTTGCATCATTTTGTTAGCAGCAGAGTTCCAGCCTCTAGAGGAAACGTAGAAGCAGAGTTAAACTAAATGTTTTGTTCCCTTGAGTGTTCCTCTTTCTGGAAGAAAGCAAACCTGAATGCACCTGAATTCTTTTCCCATAACACCAAGAGTAGTCACCCATAACTATCTGCGCTCGATTCTCTATCTTCCCGAGCAAACAAAAGCTCGGGAATGCTTTCAGAGTCAGAGGGCAGAAGCGTCCTGAGTCGACTGAGCTGTCTCCTGACACTTACTCTTCCCTTCTCTGTGTCGCACAACAAAGGGAGCTGACGGACGCGACACAAAACCTGAATCTGCCATTCTCAATCAGGGACAGACCACTTGAGAATGTATTACACCTTGTTACCCAAACACGATCAGAAGCCGTAGGCCTTAAATTTGTTTGGGTTTGTGTCCAGATAGGTCATCTCAGTTGTAAAGGCTTTGTTTGTGTGAGGGGAACACCAAGCATGAAGTAAAAGGCACCTTTTAAGATGTTATCAGTGAGCGCGAGAGGATTACTCTTGTCTGAAGGGGTGCACTGTTTCTGTGGATGGCTTATTTATCTTGGGCGCATGGCTTTGAACATCTGTAAACACCTTCAGCTAACTGCTTAACGCTATTTGATGCTTTCTTGTGTGGAAAAGGGAACATTTAGGTTTTTGTTTCCTTATTTTTCCAGGTGTCATCAGTTACACAGAGTATCTCTTTCTGCTCTGCATTCTAACAAGTAAGTAAATATTTTTACTGACTTAAGCAGAATTATCTTGAAAACAATTTAGTGATTAAAAGTGACTGTCGAATGTCATTCATTTTTGTTTGATTTCAGAGCCCCATGCAGGCTTCAAGATTGCTTTCAACATGTTTGATGCAGATGGGAATGAAATGGTAGACAAAAGAGAGTTCTTGGTGGTACGAACCTTGTCTTGAGAGTCAGATGTAATAAGATGCATTTGATCTGGTATGTTACATTCTGCATAGTAACTTATAATCTTTTCAATAGCTGGAGGAAATTTTCCGTAAGAAAAAGGACAGAAAGGAAGTCGCTGAAGATGTGCAAAGATTTGACCTGCAGGTATGTGTTGTTTTCAGCAGTTGTTGAAGCTACTGTCATCAATATCTTTTATATTAACAATTGACTAAATTGTTGTGTGTGATGTAAAAGAGGTTGCTGGTTATTAAGAGTGTTATTGTCAACTTTGAAGTCCCCCTCATTTTCTAGCCTCTTCTGCTCATGATGAGCTAAAAGAAGAGTGGATATATGGCCTGAATGAATGCTAATGTTGCTCTATGTCTGCTAGATGCGTAAATAAGTAACTGTTGGCAAACATATTCCCTGTAAGAACTTTATATGTCTGGTGTTGTGCTTCAGTCTGCTGCCCCCCAAAAAACCTTCATTGATTAATTTGACCTCTAGGAGACAATACAACAAACTAAATATGTTATGAGATACTTTATATCATCACGGTATACTAATGTGTTAACAAGCATTTGGCTTTTTACACTCACTCACTGACACAAAGCAACGTTAGCATTCATTTAGAGTCGTGTATCTGCCACCTGACAAATGCTACGTCCAATATTCACTCTTTTAGCTCTGTTTTAGTCTCCACCAACTCCTGTCAAATACTGCGCTATGTTCACCAGCTAGTCCGTTTGTCGTTTGGTACTGTGCCAGTAGTGTACAGTGTTTAGGCTTTATTGGAGCTTTTTTAATTGAAAAAATGTGCCTGTTGTGTCTGTTGGAAGTGAGGTAGATTAGATTGATGGAAATCCAAACACTAAAGTTTCAGTCCGGAAAACCAAACTATCAACTAAAAGATGCTAAAACGCTCCATAGAGCTGACAGAGACCACAGCGTCAGGTGGTCATTCTTTGTGGCTTTGTCATCACGAGTGACACCTTTCACATTACATGCAGTCCTTTGACCAATTGTGGTTTGAAAAAAAAGCCTGATAGTAACCTCAATCTTCAATTTTACTTAAAATAAGAGGGTTTTTGCTTGCTACACTTACAGTGTTCCTAGAGTGAACGCAGGCTGCACAGAGGTGAATGTGGTCATACAAGGCAAAACTTGCCTGAGGCTTTCATCTCTGTAGGGCTGTCTTATGCCACATGCAGGTGGATGTAAACAGGCAGAGCTGAACAAAGCGATAAGACCAACTCTTTGAGGTCTTATCGCACAAACACAACATGGAGGGGCTTACTCTGCCGGGACAAACGTTAGCATCTCTGGACAGTCTTCTGCAGCCCCTATAACCATCAAAAAGATCATTAGAATGGGTACTCTAGATTTGGAAATATAATGATGCTTTGTAAAAAGACAAAGATGAGGACTCTGGGTACATTCACAAAGCTTAAGAATTGGAATAAGATCTCGGATCGCTGGTGAAGTCATGTCATATATAAACTTGACGGCTATAAAATCAATCAATAGCTTAAAAACTAATTTCCTTTTCTAAAATAAAAAAAATTTGTTAAATTATAAATGAATCTCCTCTTTCTGCTCTCTTTTGCTTTTCAGAGCTTGCAGCTGTACGGTCCTCACAAATCCCAAGCGCACACTGTATGTATTGTTCTCTTTCCCTGAAGGAAAATGAACAATTTTGCTTTTATTTTTGGCATGAAAATGTTTTTGCATAGTGGGCTACAGAAAACACACATGCATCTGAGGGGCTGACACCACCCATATTTGTGTCTGTTAACACCAGATAACCTCGTTCACACTCACTGGAATTGAAATGTACTACCGTGTACTCCAACGTTATCTGACATTTTGTGTGTGTGTGTGTGTGTGTGTGTGGTAGTGCGGGGGGTACACCGCAGATGATTTATGTTCTTGCCTCTTGTCAGCATTGGGTGAGAGATTCCACTTCAAAAAGCTCTTACCTGAAGACTGACAACGACCCCCATGTATTATTTTTACAGTTTCTTGAGAAGTGGTATTTTGGCTCAGGTTACCTTTTGTAATTGGTTTGACCATGAAGATGCCAGTCAGAAAGGGCAGTGAAAAGCACACACACACATGCGCACACACACACGTGCACACACACACACACACACACACACACACACACACACACACACACACACACACACACACGTAGAAGAGCCTACAGAGGGACAGACCTATGTTTTCAGAGTACTTCACCTTTAGGTGTGGCTTTTTTGTTTTTATTTCTTCTGCCGTACTGTCGGTATCTTTCCAGCAAAAGTTCAAAAGTCAAATCTTTTCAAAGAGCACACAGCAGGCATGTTTTCAGTGCTGTGGTTGGGCTTTCCCCGGCAAATTCTAATTACAAGTGTATAAGGATCTTTTCATGGGATGAGATGAGAACAGCGCGGTGCATTAAAGAGATGTTCCGTAATTAGCTGTGGGATCATGCCATAAATCTCTCTCTCTCTGGTGAAAGGTGATGAAGCACAGAGGAAGAGCTGTTTTATCGCCTGTCTCACATTCCCCCTCGGGCTTGAGAGATGAAAAAAACTGAATAAGATAAATAAATATTATGAAATGAAGCATGCCATACTTAAGAACACGTGTCGATGGCAGCTAGCTGTTTCTCGTTGGTTGTGTGCTGCTTGTTGCTTTTGAATGAAGTGATGTGTGACACATCTCAACTGAAGAAATTGTAGGTTGAAATAAACTGAATCAGAGCGAGAGAGACACCGACATGGTTTGGTTTATAACTGGGAGTTAGAAATCCAAGTGTTTCTTAACTACTTGGAAGACAGATTCCCTGTGATCTTCTCATTGCACATGCCACAAATTACAAGAAAAATGTTGTTGACAGTGGCGTTGCAGTATAGCTGTAGTTATAGTAGTCCCACAGCAGCTGGCAGAGTGAAGGGAGCCGCATAAACTGTAATAATAATAATGATTGGTTAATCCCAGATCAGGAGCATGACCTCAGCTGGAAAAATAGCAGAGTGGCTTCTGTGTTCCAGACAACATTGAGCAGAAAATCTGCACAGTCATCTTTTATATTTAGACTTCAATCTCACACGAAAGAGCCAAATTCTTCCAGAAAACGTCATCTGTCATTTAGTAGATGAACGGTGTCTGATAACCTGCATTTACTTCACAGCATAGCATCAAATGTTGAAGTATTGGGTGGGTTCAGTTACATAGTTTACTCGGCATGAATCTCCCTTCAGGTCTCACGCCCTGCATGCTTTCGACATGTGTTGGCTGTGTTGGCTCGATGTCCTGCCAAGAGACTGCATGCATCGCTGCAGAGCAGTCTCATGTCAGGGCTGATGGGCCTCTCTGATACTCCGGTGTCGGCCCCTGTCTGTTTCTGCCTGTTGGAGTGTGGACGGATGTCAGTCTATCAATCCCTCTTCCTCTGACTTTTTGTCCACTGCTAAATGTGTCTCACTCTTCATCTTGTTTCTGCATCTCTGTACTCCCTCCTGCCTCAGTGTGCATCGTCCATGCTTATCTGTCCATCTTCCCTTTCCTAGTCTCTGTCCCATGTGCCAGATGTATTTTGTCTTCTAACAGCTGTGCTTCAACTGCTGCCACAGGTTCTTAAAAAAGACTGTCAGCATGTGGAGGCCCGGGGCATGTGGGAAGTTCTCAAACGTGGCACAAGTCAAGTTCTGTTTTCTGATCTCACTGAGGTAGCTGTGCCCTCGTTAAGATGATTCTTCATTACTTTGGTTATACAGTAACACTATGCACAAGGCTCTGAATGTTTCTCATAGAAACTCCTGTAGTTTCTGTGTGAGAGAGCACGGTGGAACTAGTTCTTGATTTATGCATCTATCTTCTTGTTAGTAAGAGTAAATACTCAAAGAGAGCTCCTCTGAGATTTCCTCTGCACCACGTTTAATGAATCTGCTAGAAATGCAGGCCCACTGTGGGGCACAGTGAAAAATTAACCATTAACTCCGGGTATGACTATTAACTAACATTTTTACTTAAAGCTTTAAGCATGGTTAAATAAAAGTCATTGTTAATGTTTACCTGGTGTTACCATGACACATTTTTTTGTGCATATTTACTCAGTGTTTGGCTGAATCATTACTGAGATGGATACTTAAAGCAACGAGGATTTACTTGTTTCCCTCTGACAGGATGTGGATGAGAAAACAGAGACAACGCTGCTGGTGCATTTCTTTGGGAAAAAAGGCAAAGCTGAGTTGAAATTTGAAGATTTTTACGAGTGAGTTGAAAAGCCTTTTGTCTGCTGTGTGATACATCATGATGTCCCTTCTCCCAGTGTAATATAGCCTTTATTCATTTTCATACCAGGTTGAAGCTCCAGCAGCTAAACCTTTAGCGGTTTTGATTGTGACTATGTTAAGTGTTCCTTTGTGCATGCAAGTTTCTGGTGGTGGCGTTTCCTGTCAGCAGCTGCTGTCCGTCTCGCTCCTCCAGGTTCATGGACAACCTGCAGACAGAGGTGCTTGAGATAGAGTTCCTCTCCTACTCCAAAGGCTTGCCCACCATCAGCGAGGAAGACTTTGCTCGGATCCTCCTTCGCTACACGAACGTGGACGACGTCAGCGGGTATTTGGACAACGTGCGCCACAGCCTGCCGGATGAAAAGGTGCGCTGTTATTTAATTTCAGATTCATTTTGTCATCACATGTTGACCTCTGACGGCTCCCTTGCCTCACCTTAAAGTACTGGGGTCTAGGGTTAGACAAAATAACAGGAACACTATACAACATGATGTAATCCAATACATTAACATTAACATGTTAAGATGGAAAGATCGATATCAATCTGGCACTAAGGTTGACCTGAGAGGTGATTAGCTTAGCTTAGTACAAAGACAGGAAACAGCCAGCCTGGCTATGTCTTAAGTTAAAAAGTGTACCTACCATCACCTCTAAAGCTCACTCTCTATAGCTTGACAAATCACATATTGTATCACCTTTAAAAAATATATTTTTAATTAACTCTTTTTGGTTTTAGGGGAACCATGTGTTGGAGCTAAATGATGAACAACAGTTTCTCTGTCTGCCTAGTGCAGTGTGAAATAGTCAGTGGGATTTAGTTGTGTGCACAGGCATGATGGTATCACACCCGGGACCCTCATTCTGACGACAGGACTCCAGGAGGTCACCAACAAATAGTCCCTGCATGTAACTCCCAGTAAAATATATAGATACTAAGTAATAAATTGTCATTTTTTACATTAAGATTTTTGTCACAGCTTCAGCATCAAAACATAATGTGTTAATTATCGTGCTTTAGATGGGCTGATAGGAAGTTGGTCCCCATTTCCAGTCTTTATGCTTAATCTAACCTAACTGCCTGCTGAGTTAGCTTTTTACACAAAGTTTCAGTCCAACAAATTTTAGAATTAGATAAATTCTACCTTTGTAATCCCCCATTGACAGCAACTAAAAAAGACACAGCAATGCACAATGTACATGAACTACAGCAATTTGGACTAAGGAGTAGGTTTCTCACTCGAACAGAACTAGTTCAGCAGTCACAGAGACATTTAAATATAAGGATAACGGCTCACTGTTTTGTGTGAGTATGGGGGTATTTTAGTCCTCTGTTTCTTTTGAAACCGCACTGTGAATTAGCTGTTGAGTGAAGCATCCTCACTTTAGCTTTATTTTGTTTTTCCTCTTGGCACGCTGACCGGCTCCTCAGCCACCTCGAGTAGCCTGTTGCTAGATCTCCATTGATTATCAAGTGGGTCTCATCGTTGGGCTAAGAGATATTTTATGGCCCTCACCTTGTTAAAACAGCAAAGCATCACAGATTAGTCATTACTCCAATTGTTCGGCTGTGTGTGTTGCCAGTTTGGCGGGGCCCCCCGGCGAGAGAAGGAGCTACTAGCAGCAGGATGGTTGAGTGGAGATCAATAGGCTCAGTGTTTGAGTCATCAGCCAAGCCTGAGATGTTTGGGGATTCATCACTTTTGTTGTTTTTGTTTATTCAAGTATCAGGTTAATCTGCCTTAGAAAAGTCTGCAAACGGCCTGACCTCTTCCCAAAAGCTACAACCCTCCCCCCGCTGCTGACAGCTCAGCGTGTCCATACTGCACAGGGAAAATCCAGCAATATATACTTTGGGTGTGTTATCTACCTGATGGCTTCAAGGTCCCACACACACTAAAGGATTCCCCGCAGGATGAAAGGAAGCAGATTATGTGTTGTGTGAATTGTAGCACTATCCTTTGCTGGAGTGTTGACACACGCAGCCGTTTGCTTCATGTGGCACTTTATAATATCTTGTGTTGCATTTCACAAGCTTTATGTTCCATTAGTATAAAATAAAATAATAAACTGTTGTTTTTATTGCTGTTACAGTATATCTCTTTGCAGGGCATCACCTTTGAGGAGTTCAGGTCCTTCTTCCAGTTCCTAAACAACCTGGAGGATTTTGCCATCGCCATGCAAATGTACAACTTTGCCCACCGCTCTGTCGGTCAAGGTAAAGTCTCACAGTTTGTAGTCACATGCTGGTTGTAAACATGAGCCTGATCATTCAAGGAAATTAACATTTTTATGTGTCTCTAATTTGTTTTAATTGATTCTTTGTGGTATTATCCACATGTCTTCTGTAGAACCTACACTAAATGGCCAAACGTATGTGGACAGCTGCCCATTACACCCATATGATTGTCAAACATCTCATCCCATGAGCATAATGTGCTGCTATAACAGCCTCCACTCATTTGGGAAGGATTTCCATCAGATTTTTTAGCCTGGCTGCAGGGATTTGCTCTCATTCAGCTACAAGAGCACATGATGTCGAACGCCAGTGGTTGGCTATAAAGCCCATCAGGGCTCTGAGCAGGCCAGTTCTTCCACATCAAACTCACAAACCTGTTTTTTTTAATGGACCTGGTTTGTTAATGTTGGTGTTGTCAGGGAAACTGTTGCCACAAAATAGAAAAAATAAAACATTATCATATCAAATGTCTAAAATATAATTGTATGCTGCAGCATTACATTTCCCCTGGTTGAAACTAAGAAGTTTTGCCCCAAATCAAAAAAGTATTTGGACAGGCGTATGTGTATTTGCTGTCATGTGTTTGTCAGCGATCAAGAAAAATCTTATAAAACTAAAAGGTCTGAAAGATATTATTTAGTTAAACTCTCTGTTCTTTGCCATGTTACTCTTCTTGGTTGTGATATAATTACATAATAATTTTTTCATCTTATTTCAAGCTGAACTGTTGAAGACAGCATTTAATGCTGCTGGAGTCTCAAGACCACTCTCTTCTTGGTGGTTCGTTGTTCAGTTCTATCCTGTTTTTCTTCCCTCTCAGATGAGTTTACCCGGGCAGTCTACGTGGCTACGGGAATCAAGCTCACTCGCCACTTGGTCAACACAGTCTTCAAGATCTTTGACGAGGACCACGACGATAAACTCAGCCACAAGGAGTTCATCGGTGTCATGAAGGACCGGCTGCACCGCGGCGGAGGGGTGAGGCAGCAGAGACCATTTAAATGCCATCCATCTCTCTTTTATGACACGGAAGGTGACAGAACAGATGTGCCCACCTGGCCCACTCTCCTCCTCCCTCGTCAGTCTGGGGGAGCAGCTTCTCATAGGGTACACAAGAAGGGAAGCGGCCCAGAGGTATTGGACTCCACAGCAGGCCTGGCTGATGTGAAAGATACCAGCAGTGTCAGCCTTTGTCAGCTGCTTCTGATTTAACTGGATGAAAGTCAAAAGGGCAAATAGGGGTCGATGCTAAGCGCAGAAATACATGTTTTTTACATCATTAGGCCTACTTAAGCAACTATTAGCGTCACAAACACCAGCTTTCCTGTTTAATTACAACTTTGAGTATGTACTAATTATGTCTCTTTGTTCTTTAGGTCGTGGTATACTTAAATACCTCCATAAAAATAATGTTTAAATTACACTCCTGCCACTTTTTATTACTGAAGCACATCTCACCTCTGAGTTGGAGTGATTTTTGTGAAATTATACTGCCATCTAGCGGGAATTTGGTTTTCTCACAGTATTCCCTTTTCTCCATCTGACTCTCTGTCTCTCTCTCTCTCTCTCTCTCTCTCTCACATATACACACACACACACACACACACACACACACACAGGGCTTCAGAGTGGAGGAGAAGTTCACATCTTTTAAGTCCTGCATGAAGAAGGAGCTCTCAGGCAAATAGGTAAAGTATTTTCTCACACTTCCTCTGTTTAATAGGGGAAGAATACAAATATTCTAATAATGTTTCATGTGTGGTTGAAACCTTTTTTTAAACTGTTACCCTAACCCTAGGCACACTATCTCAGTATATAGTCAGTCTTTTCAGAGGCCCATGCTCTGCTCGCCCGAAGCATTGAGTTACACTGTAATATTAACACCTGATCAACTGCCACCAGATACCAGCTTAAATCTGCATACATGAGCAGTGAGCAGTGCAGTTTAAATCCGTATAAATGTTTCAAAGGAAATGCACCTCTTGGGAAAGGGCTTGATAATCTTCCCTGATAAATCTTGGGAAAGGACCTGCAATGTGAAAAACGCTTTTTTTGATGATAGGGAACAGTAAAATGGCCTCCATTTAGCCTCATTATTGTGAGATTTTGATCAGGATGAAAGTGCCGTGAACAGTACAGTACAGCATTTACATTGTCTGACATGAAGGTAACCTTGTCAGCAGTTAAAGGAATAGTTCCACATTTTGGGAACTACACTTATGCGCTTTCCTGCCGAGAGTTAGATGAGAAGATCAATACTACACTTATATCTGTCTGCTGAATAAGGAGCTACAGCTGGTTAGCTCAGCTTAGCAAGCCTGTACAACAGCTAGCCTGGCTCTGTCCAAAGGCAACAAAATCCACCTACCAGCTCCTCTCAAGCTAATTAATTAACAAGATATTTTGTTTGTTTAATCCATCCAAAAACTTAAGTGTAAAAAGGACAAGTTGTGTTTTTGTGGTGGTTTATATGCATTGTATGGATTATTACTGCCTTTACATTTCAGTTTTAGCTCATGCTGGGCTATGCTAGCTGGCTGTAGCTTCATATTTACTATACAGACAGCAGATAAGCATATTTACCAAAATGTTAATCTGTTTGTTTCAGCATTAACTGCCACATTAAATTGGATTTTCTACCATTTATGATGATGTTTTATCCTCTGCTGCTATTTTCAATATTTTTAACTAACCTCTATGCTGGAAATAGATCCCATGTTTTTTTAGATTAAACTAAACGAGTGAAATCTGTAGATATTTGGGAGAACTGTTGCTGGTTGCCTGTGCGCTAAAGATCCACAGCTGTGGTTGCTGCAATGGACCCAGTTTTTAGTAGCTGTGCATTCTTGCAGAACTGCTGCGGCACTCGTGCTCCATGACTGCTTGATTAAGAGGTGTAAGAGTTTTTGTTTCTCTGTAGTCAGTGTATTTCTGCCATGTAATATACAAGAAAGAATTGACTGCAGTTCTAACGTAAGAACGATACAGATTATTCATCCTGCTCTGCCTTCACAATGAGAACACATTGTGTTGTGTGTACATGTGTAAAGTGTCACACTGACTGGACTTTCTCTCTGTTTTGTCACCAGGTGAAAGTCCCATCATCAGTGCATGTCTTACAAACTGGATGAGCTGCACACATCTGTGCTTTCTACCTGGAGAGAAGGGTTAATGCATGTCGCAGCATTTTATTGCACTGTGTTAGACGGTTTAAAATAAACAGGATGTGGTAAAAACAGGATGTGGTCAGCCTAATGGGAAGTTGTTGCTAGCGGTCACACAAACAAGAATAATCCATTATGAACCTAACAAATCCACTTAACTCAGTGTCTCACTCTAAATTGGAATTCTTAGTTTCTATAACTGCTTTTGCCTGCTCAGAGGATATTGAACTATTTATTGATTGATCTACTTGTAAATATATTTATCATTTTAAGATTGTTAGCTCTGATTTTCTTTATTTGTCTAAAAGGCCAATGTTGTCTTACTACTGTATTGTTCATTTGGATTCTCCCGTTGCTACCATACTTGGTTCTTCTGCACCTTCTTCTGCGTTCTTCTTCGGCTCTGCAGCGCCCTGCACAGATCAGCTCAGGACAGCTCCTCCCTATCCTCCTCCTCCCTCCCAAAGAGCTGCAGCGAAAATCCTCCAGGATCCCCCAGAGCCAGCAGGCCTGAACAAACTCACTCAGTCTGTGGCTTTTCCACTGTGTAACTACAGGAAGCTAACAGTGTTAATCATTTATTGGTTAGCAGAGACAAGTGCTATTTTCACACCACTGGCAGGGACGACCTCTTTTAAATAAATATGCAAAATATTGAAGCCATATGTTCCAATCTTGGGACACAACACTTAAATTAGCGCTGAGATTAAAGAAGCAATATATTAAAATGACCTTCCCTTTAAGCTCTGTAAGGAAGAGTTTACATTTTATCTTCTTCTTTATAGAAATCCTCCCTAGTATGTTACTGAGGAAATCTTGATGACATGTAATGTTTGCTTCGGGTGGAGTTGTGTACTGAAAAAAAGAAGCCATTAATATGTTACATGCTGTAATATTAACCAGACTCATGTATTTGTATTTCAGACAATGGTCTGTTTTAATCTTGGATGTTTGGATTAGCTAGTCTACCTCTTGAATAGTTTTGGAAATGATACATAAATATAATATAACCTATTTGGATTCTGGATTATTTTTGTGCTCTCTGTCTTCCTCACACACAAACACACACACATGCCACCAGTGTCTTGCTTTGTTGCAGCTGCATGCACAGTTTTCATACAAGTCAGCTAATAAACTGTGAACTGCTCACACTGTCCTCACCATGCAATTCGCTGCGACCTTCCTTTCTCTGTAACTACAGTGGACTGATGGCAGGAGCACAGAAGAATAAATTAGCTGTTTTATTCCCAACCTGAAGGCAAATCATTAACAGTATTAATCACCAGGAATCAGTGGCTGTGTGGGTGTTCGAGACTCTAATCAGGGACTTTTTATCTTTAAATGATTCATTCAGCTGGGAAATAATTTGCAGCCTCACACTCTAATCCTGTCCTGCTTGAAATAAAATCAAGATGGTCCATCACTAAAGAGAAAAAGACCCTTGAAATATAAAGAAAAAATTCACTTACAGCTGCATTAAACATCAGCTGATACAATCTGGACTTTCCCTGTTGGTTGAGTGACAGGAAAACGAATGTCCATCATATTTATGCATTATTATTTATGCAATGATTTTCCCACACCCTATGGTGTGTGAAGAAAATACCGCTTGTTTCACCTACTGTTGCCCAGAACTGATTTGTTTTGATAAGAGGTTTCACTTTCTCTCTCAGTATGCACGAAAATAACCACTGAAGGGGAGTCTAAAGGGCTACTCTAGCGATTCACTTACATAAAGTTAGGGGGTTTGCAAGAGACAGGTTAAAAAGAAGAATGGTCAAAATTGATGCAGCTGAGGCACTGACATCATCACTTATTTGTTTTTTTGATGTTTGACGTGTCACTGAACCCTCTGCCCTTACTGTAACTCTGAGATGTGCATGTTGTGGTGCATATTGTTAGTTTGCTGCAGCATGCCACCCACCCACAAAATTGGCAACAGGTGGCAAATCACTGCTTACATTCAAACTGTCCATCCATCCATCCATCTATTTATGGCAATGTTTTAAAGACCTTTGCAATCAGAAAGTAGAAGTCACTCTGTGAAATGTGATTGTAAAGAACAGTTATAGAGTGCAGCTTGGCAGAAGGCAAATGATTAAATGCAATATGCTAGCAACAACACATCTAACATCAAAACATATAATAGCCTGGAAAACAGTGTAGTGTACAGTGTAAAAATGACTATTACAAGTATATGTCAAGCCTGCATTGAACATATTAATAAGTAAAAGAATGTAGGCTAAGTCTAATCAGGAAAATGTACTAAAGTTTTAATGTCCCATGAGACTCTAAGACAATTATTTTAACATAAGATTATTATTATTCATGCATTAATGTAAAATAGCTTTTTGTTGTTGAACTATTTTGTATCAGACTGAAATTAAATTTTTTTTGGCTTTTATGAAAATAAACTATAAAATTGTATGTGTGTGTGTGTGTGTGTGTGAACAGATCCCTGTTTAAACACTCGCGGGTCTGAACTTATTGAGCCCATCTGCTCGCGGTGAAAATGTGCCAGGCTTGCAGCATCCCGCGGACGTCATGGCAACCTGTAGGGAGTCAGCAGGGGCGGTCCTGACTCTGTGCCTGTGTGCGTATGTGTGTGCATGTGCGTGTGTGTGAGCTGTCTGATATTTTGTTGTAGCCTGTGCTAGTGGCTGAGCAGGGCGATCAGAGGGGAGCAGTGCGGCAGCGGCAGCAGACGGCGGCAGCATTGTCAGAGGCGGGCGGGAGGCTGGTAGGATGTTGCGTCTGTGCTGCCGACTAGGCTGATCAGAGTCGGAGCCACGATGCAGTGACAGTCTACAGGAAGACACGGGCGCGCGCGCACACACACACGCACGCACACACAGAGGCAGAGAGAGAGGGAGAGTAATACACGATTGCGCACGAGAAATGATCCGCTCCTAGACTATGGCACCATCAGGCTCGCGTAGTATCAAGAAGGGCTGTCAGAGAGTTTTGTACTGGATCCCGGTCCTGTTCATCGCCCTCATAGTGGCTTGGTCATACTACGCCTATGTTTTGCAGCTTTGCATAGGTAAGAAACCAGCTGTCTGGTTAGTATGAGGAGGAGGTGTGTGTATACATCTGTCTGTGGGTGAGAGAGGGGGAAATGTCTCTGACTGGTATGTGTGTGTTTTTGTCTTTGGTAATGGGGTGGAGAGACGTTTCTGTTTCAGCAGTTTTTTTTTTAAAAGACTGGCTTGTTGTTTATGCAGTGTGTGGACAGTCCCAGTCACATGACAGCAACAGTTCAACCAGGAATTGTAAGCATATTATTGCTCAAGCAAGTGCCACAAGTGAAAAACACAAGTTCAACATTTGCAAATTAAAACACAGGCAGAATTAGAAGTATGTGACAACTTGCTTTTATCATGAAGGAGCTTGTATGAGAACAGGATCCGAATATGGACCCACCACAACCCCTCTATCAGCACTGTATTAAAGACTTACTGTAATAGCTTCAGGCTCAAAGTCGCTGGACTCAATAATCTGAATGTAGACCCTCCGCCACAACACCAGCAGCATAATCTTTTGGCAAGAAATATGGCTGTAATGGCTTTGGAGTTAGGGCTGCCTCCTTCCTACACGGTGCCTCCAGCTGCTGAGTCTTGGATGGTGCGTTTACAGACAGCGAGCCTTCTCGGTGAACGGTGAACATGGAGTTGACCTGGATAGTGAGTAATGGCTTCTAGGATGTCTCAGAGGAGTCTCAGCAGCCTACTCCTGTGCTCCATTTGGCAGCTTGTCAGACCACTAGGAAAGCAGATCCCCTCTGTTTAAAAAAAGGGGGGGGGGGGGGGGGGTGAAATGGAGATGCTTTAATGAGACAGAACAGAGAAAAACGCTTGCTGTTTGTTCCTAACACTGATTTTCTCCAAATGTAGGCAGACATTCGATCCAGCTTTAACTGAGAGGAAACACCTTTATGTTTGCCTTTACACCTGATCAGTGAAACTTAAACATGCTGCAGCAGTCATAGTGCCATGTCACTGGATTCAGCAGCACGGGTGAGGCCAGAGGGGTGGCACGCCTTGACCCGAAATCTGATCTACCAGAGTGAGAAGGTGATAGTTAGTTGGCTTCTTGGATGGATTACTGAAAGGGCCTACCGGGTAAAGGCCCAGGGCCCCTGGACCAGAACCTCTGTAACATTAACATTGTCAAAAGACCACAAAAAAACACAAAGAGGTCGGGGGTGGGGGCAGCCAGCGTCACGAGAGGGCAGCCGGCGTCTGTCCCAGGATGAACCTCTTCTAGAGTTACAGGAAGCCATGTGTCTGCTGCTGCTGCCCATGAGATATTCAGATGCCCTTCATTACTGCAGGGTGACAGAAAAGCAAAATCACTGTTTCGTCAGGCTCTTTCCAAATCACTTCTTGTTTTGCATCCTTGCAGAACAAAAGCGAGATTTTGATGCATACCAGTCACATGAGATGAGACAGGCGAAAACAGCAGCAGCGGGGGCAGGACAGTGGTTGCTCAGGGGGCCAGCATGCGCTCTGCAGACAGACACACAGACAGTTGTGCGAAAGTATCGTCAGCTGATACCTCTGGGTAGCTCAGTTAATCCCATTGTCTCGCTTACATAATTCACCCCAAGCAATCTGCGGTTGACCCACTTTCTTGTAAAGCAGCCTTTGAACAGTTGATCCTTTCGCCCAAGATTGTTAAAAATGTGAAATCAGGTGGTCTTTGGCTTCTTGAATATCCATTTATTGTTGTAGCAAGAATGCAAGGAGAGAAAGCAAAAGAGGGTGCAGCCTTGACCATAATGCTTCCACAGGCACATTAACATACAGCCATGCACATGCTCTTAATCACACACTCACACACGTATGCTTCACTGTCAGACTCTGGGGCTTTTATGCTGGCAAGGCGGCACAATTTTTGGCTGCATTCCTTGACACAGCTCCTTGGCTTACATTTCCTCAGTTCCTGCTGTGCGCATATGTGTGTTTGTGTGTGTGTGTGCTGCTTTACAGGCTAATTGCTAAAGATGGATGATTCTGTGTGCTCAGCTAATCATTGCTTAGATATTGGGACAAATATAAAACAGTGTCAAGTCTCGCACATGTTTCTTTTTATGTCCAGAGTCCAGATCTTTAGGTGTGTGTTTGGGAAGGTTTCGGGGTGCTCATCAAGTGTGTGGGTGCTGATGTTGGCCTGCAATCAGCAGCTTCGCCTGGTCCCCTCTGTGGGAGTTATTGCAGCTGTCAGCAATCACGCTCACACACAATCTGTGCAGGATGTTCCTGTTGTTTTCAGTGCCTTTTGTCAATGCACAGTAATGCTTATCTATATAAGTGGGACAATGAGTCAAACTATTTGACTGGGAGTGTGCTGTACATTGATTTTGTGAGTGGCGTGGTATTGGACACTGGGTTTAAGGGTTTACAGAGTCAGCATTTTCCAGTTGTGCTACTTTAAATTCAGACACTGACTGTCAGTCAATCATGTATAAAACACAGAGGATGTGTGAAGGATTTAAAAGCAAAACAAAGCTTTTTATTTCCCTCATGTTGACCTACATTTTGGGGAACATCCTAAGATGCGCCACAGTCTGTTTCACCTTCTTTTATTCAACACAGACTTGACAGTGTCTTGTCATTTTTCATTTTTCAGAGTCCATTGAAGACACAGGAGAAAAGGGTAAGTGTTTTATGATGCTATTTAACATCAGGAGCAATCACCAGTGTCTGTTAGATAGTGAGCTGAGTCTAGGCCAAAGGAGGTTCTGCAGAAGCAGCCCACATCAAAGCACTATAACCCACCTGTATCAGCTGGAAGTGTGTCATGACATTTGTTTTCACTAATTCAGTGATGTGTTTAAAAGCAGGCTTTTCAGTGTGTTTCAGCATATTATTGTGTGTTTTGTATCTGTCTTGAGTCTACGCATCGAAAGAGACCAACCACAATTATCTTTCAGACATACTAGCTGCATAGTTCTAGGGATGGCAATGTCAGTCTGAAAGGCAGTCAGTGAACCACTTTGGTCCAGACTGAAA